TCTTTTCGTCTCGGTTAATCAAAGCGTAATATTTTCAACAGCTGTAGGCTTCTACGAATTTCCACGCATAAAATCCAGTTCCTTTCGGTTAAGTCCACGTTCTTCTGAAATATCTAATATTCTAAGGCTGTTTTATACATGACAGCAGAGCAGATATCAATTCCAAATAAATGTGGAGTATTGATTACTAGTAATAGTCAATACCAGAGTTGGGATAGGGGAAGAGACAGTAGGCAAAGTGAAGCTTCTGAACATATGATCTATGCATGTTGACATTCATCGACAAGTTACACCAACAATTTTGATGTGAACTCATGTTTCTATCGTGATTTGAATTAACAAATATCAGACTACTGAAGCTATTCAGAAAACAAGTGATTTTCAGTCTAGAAGTTCCAAGATGCATAAGATGCGTCTAGACACTTACCTAGATGAATGATGACGTAATAACCTGACGACTATAACAGGATTCGTCAACAACTACTCAAGAAATCTCAAGGATTACTGGAATTTGCCATATGTGTCAATTGGATTCAAGGACATTTTTCATTTTCAACTACGAAAGAGCAGATTTCAGTTGGTATTCATGGAAAACGGCATTCCACAATTAGAGGAATTGATGAACAGCTTTGCGATGACTATAAATGGAAGTACTACAATCCTTAAAAAATTATGTCAGTTGAAGCGGTTGCCTGATATTGTTATGCATGTGGCCCAGGAAACACTGCTGAAAGAAGTGTCAGCCATTGCAGCACAGAGAATATCACAAGAATTGAACCGAAACTGATACAAACCATAAACTTAAAAATCATATCGAGCATAAAAATAAAAGCGGCTGGAAAAAAAGATATATTTCATCAGAAAGGAAGTAAACCGTAGCCGTAAGCAAGACGAAAAAATACAAAACAACATCACGGATAACAACATAAGAAAACATTCAGAAACAAAAAACGCGATATCGAAGATACATTTAAAATTATATAATACTGTAGCATTGACTATTCAAAAAAACACAGCATAAACATAAGTAGAGAAAATGAAGTCATATATCACACAATCAACCTTTTTATTTGATGACAACTGACACAGTAGGAGTAGGGAAATGATAGAGCGGAGAAAATGGAAAAGTCATCTACAAAGAAAGGATGAAGATGACGTTGAGGAGTAGTAATAAACTATGATGGAGATAAGAATGGTGAATTAGTGGTGCGGATATCCATGGCGGCAGACAGAGCGGTGGAACAGGGAGATAGACAGAGTATTGACAGATTGATTGGCAGATCTATTTGTCTTTGCAATTCCCATCAACACAACTCTGGCTGCAACACTCAGGCGTCACTCTGACACACTGATTTCGATGGAAGACACTCACTCGGGCCCCTGACACACGCACCTTCTCTCTCATTCAAACATTTTGCATTCGTGGTGGAGGACAGCAGTTTCGCGATCCACTCATATCACAGAATTTACCCACATCCAGACAGTCGCCATCCACGTTGGTCGCCTTCACACTACCTGAAATGCAATTTCACACAGCAAAAATTAATTCCTTATCTCACATACACTCACTCACTCACTCACACACACAACACACGCACACAATAATCTTTGTCATCTCAATCAACATCAACCAACCTTATCAATGCTATCGACACATCCATTTTTGCAGTATACACATATTCATTCACATTTCATGCACCAGTGACACACCTATCACAGATTTGTTCAGTTCGCCTGATGTAGGATAGTATTCACTGCACTCCACTGCACCATCATTCATTAACACCATGCAAAAATGCACAACTTCACAAAATATGCCTACTTCTGCGCACTAAGTAACACAGATCAGGATAAATTGCAGACATGAACTGACAAGTGACATTTCGGCGATTGTCACTCACTCACTCAGTCACTCACCGTGTATGCTGCAGACGACGATGACAAGGACAGTGACCAAGCAGAAGACCAGATACTGTTGCATCTCTCCTCCAACCGAAACAGCTATTCACCGTGTATTCTGGTTGAACAAGTCACTCAATCACTCACTCACTCACTCACTCACCCACTTATATACCCATCACTCATCTACCAAACCATTCACACATCACTCACCAGATTGTGCATTGACACTAACACGCCAATCTCGTCGATACTCATGTGACGATCATTGAGACTGTCTTGTCGATGTCATTGTTTGTCAGCCACTCGCTCATTTCTCTCAACACACCACATCACATAACACACACCGCACACTCCACACACACCACAGCACAGCACACCACATCAGGCCAACTGCCACCCACCCACCACACCATCAATCATATTTCGTCTCGTGTGACTTCGTGTCTGAGTTTCGTGCGTGAATTCATTCTCATCGTCTTAACTGCGCTTTTTGCATTATGCAGGATGAATCATTTGCATGTGTGACACGCTCACGTTTTGCACTGACATTGTCACTCTTCATCAATTAACAGAATACTAATTACGTTATATTATGGTGGAACGTTCGCAAATAATTAGCTTATTATCAAAACAGCTTCATTCGTCCTTGTCAAATAATGTCACGTTCTTATAAAATCCATACCTAGACACACGAGCCATTACCATGAACTAGTTCGTCGCCATTATGTTTGTAATCTAGAGGACTTCAAATGTTTATTACATTGGTTCATGTCATTTTTCTCTGATATCTCCTGCTCTTTACCCACAGTGTCATTTTCATGACAATAATTCATCTAACCTTAAGGTGACTAAGTCAAGAAAGTTTGATATCACCCATTCTCTATGTTTACACAATAGTAATTCTTCTATTCCAACTATTATTCTTCAACACTTCCACCTAAAGTTTCACAGGAA